TCTTGGCAGATTTTTGAGACCAGCAGTGGGAAGTAAGAAGGGTGAGTTGGAGTGTAGGAAAGCATAAATGGAAATGAACTGAAGGGAGATAATAGCATCATATTTAGAATCTGTCACTTTATCAGAATTACATTGACTGGTTATTAGCAAAAGAGGAGGAATTGGTTTTTTTTAGAGGAAGAACGGTTTCATTTCGCCTTCATTTGCTGAGGAATCTGCTGACAGGAATTAGGACAGAATATTGCTAAATGGGGGCTTCAGCCACTCCCTTGTGTCTGCAAGAAAGGGTTATTTTTAACCCAGAGCTGCTCAGTGACTGCATTGGCAGCATGGGCCTGCAAAAAAAAAAAAAAAAACAACCCTTTGCTGGCAAAACTAAAGCTGCTTTGTGCTGCTATGTGAGAATGGGAAGGAGAGGTCTGGGTGGGAATCCTGTAGGGCAGCAGTGCCTCTGATGTCTGTGTCATGAAAATATGCCTCCAGTTAACTATTGTCCTCTGACCTTGATCCATGCTGAAACAGGGGCTTTGCATAATCATGGAAGGAGACTGGCTCCTGCTCCAAAAGATGTTATGTTTTGAATTGCCAAAATAGACAAAGGAGACATTGTCAGCCCTTCACACATGGGAAACAGGCAGAGAGAGAGGTTTGTCTGGGGCATGCAGGCTAATTTTGACAGAAGGGGCACTTACACTGAAGTTTCCTGAATTCATTTGTGTACTGCAACCACAAGATTGCCCTTCCTTTCCAATACTGGATTTTGTTCTCCCTGAAATTTCAGTTCTAATACAGGGTTGTTTATTAAAGACATGATTTCACTCTGCTCTGTTTAATAAATATGCTAGGGATTCTTTCCTTGGACAAAACTGTGCAGCTTCCATGCAGGTCTAAGCTGCAACTCTACAAATGCCTCAGGGAACTTCAGGTGGATTTTCCTGTTGGGACTGCCAGGGACAGTAAGATAAGGAAAGGCAGAGGTGTGACTTCAGCTTCTGTCTGTCTTCATCCTCCTGGGGATCAAAGCCCCATGGGTACTTAGAAGGGGAGTCTGCAAGGGCAGTAATGCAGTTCAGCCCAGCTTCACGTGGGAAGAAAAAGAAAAGAAATATTTTACTAACTCGAAGGTCCATTTTTCTTGCTCAGCTTGTTAACTCCGAGAAGGCCAAGTGAGACTTGGCATTGCATGACCAAAGTGGGGCTGTTTGGGTTTTTTATGAGGCAGTATTGAGTGGAACCATCTGGGCTAGGAGAAGACCACACTTCTGAAATGAGCCTTTAGGAATACTTAAGTTAAGTGGTTGTCTGGGGCACCATGCTGAAAGGAAGGGCACTCACTGCTGCATGAGTTTTATGGGCTTATTTTATCTCTGATGACAAAAGAAAACTTACTAGTCATGTGGTTCCTCATAAATTTCAAGCCACTGCTGCCTCACCATACTGCCTGTGTTCTCAGCCACACTGGCACAGTTTCCCCCACTTTCTGGCTGGCAATGTTAATAACAAGGCTGCTAATGGATAATGCTTTAGAATTAATGGGTATAAATTGAAAGAGGGGAAATTTAGGTTAGCTATTAGGAAGAATTATTTTAATGTGAGGGTGTTAAGACACTGGCACAGGTTGCCCATGGAAGTGGTGGCTGCCCCAACCCTGGCAGTGTTCAAAGCCAGGTTGGATAAGGCCTTGAACAACTTGGTTAGTGAGAGGTGTCCCTGCCCAGGGCAAGGGGTTAGGACTAGATGATCTCTAAGATCCAGTCCAACCCCTTACCACACTATGATACTATGAATTACCTAACTTTTCTCTAAACTTAAAGGCAATCCCCAAGGTATACTTTGAGAACGGAAACTTTAGTATCGTAAGAGCCTTGGCTGAACATTTCCATGGTCATCCATCTGACATCCAAGTGGCTTATCTCTCTGGCTTCTGAGATCCCAGTGTTCCAAAAGGTGTGCTGTTTACTTGCCTGAGAGCTGAGCGAATCTGCACCTTTCCAGAAAGCTAAATACAAGTTTAGGAGTGTAACTTTCACAATGTCAGTGGTGCATCTCAACTTTGGCAGTTTAAACTAGTCTTTTGCTTTAAAATCTCTGTTTGGTTTTGTTTGTTGGGGTGGTTTTTAAAATTTTATTTAGGCCCCGCTGGGGCAGCTTCCTAAATTACCTTCAGGGCCCTGATTTGACTGCCTATATTCCAGATTCCAAAGGTAAATCTGATTTCTGTGTTGGAGGCAAGCTCCCCTCCTTCCAGCACTTTTCTCTGTGACTGACCTGAAAAGTGGCACATGAGATTCAGTAAAATTTCAAGAAATGTAACCTATTTTCCTGTGATTTCTATTCACTGGGATGAATCTTACTTACCAGTGTATTGCCTCAACTAAGGAAATAGCTCTTACAGTGCATGTGTGAGGAAAAAAAATGCTTCCTCCTTAAGCTTTTTTCAACCTATGTTCTGTTCAGGCTGTCTCTGTTTCAATGGACCCTAGAAGCTTTGCACGATTATTTATTAATCTGATTTACTAATAGACTTCTAAATTTCAAGCAGAGACAGAGAGAGAAGATAAGCTGGACTCAGGCTTACAAGAGTCAGATTCATGCCAGGTCTGCCACAAACACCCATTTGGCTTTATGCACATCATTTAATGTTTGTGGTTCCACTGTCTACCAAATGCAGATACCAATTCTTCCCTTTTTCCCTATCCATACTTATATAGATGGCAGGTTTGGACAGGAATCAGCTCTTTCCACGTGTGCTGGTTTGAGCTGAAGTAGAGTTAACTTTCTTCACAGAGGCTAGTATGGGGCTATGTTTGGGTTTTGTGCTGAACTTTGAATAACTCCCAAATGAGTCCCTGATGTTAGATGTAGCTTCTAGTTGCTTCTCTAAGCCACAAAATAATAATGGGCTTCAACCTGCTCAGGAAAAAATGCAACCTTTGGATTACATTGGTGTAAATAAAAAGTCCACTGCAGTTCACAAGTCAAAAACTGCTGGTAGTGTTTAGCATCAATGTCTGTCGCCTGAACATCTGGTGTTCATCACTGCTCTCCTTTTCCTTCCGCTGTCATATTTTATCCCCATCTGTTGGAGGTTTCTTAGCACAGTCTGTATAAATAATGGCTGTCTCTCAGTCTGACTAGTGGAATCCTTACAGGCTGCAAGGTAAAGGAAGGAAAAACAGGCAGATTCAAGGAAAGTGTCTCTCTTATGTACTCTGCTCCTCCCTTTCTCCCCTCTCCCTGCACACAGATAGTACTAGACAGTAGAAAGTGTCTCTCTTATGTACTCTGCTCCCTCCCTTTCTCCCCTCTCCCCGCACACAGATAGTACTAGACAGTATTACTAGACAGTGTGGTACTCTTGCTATGAAGAGAGATGGAGAAGTTTCCAAAGATAGCAAATGTTTTCACTAGCCCTAGTTCTGAAGGCAGAGAGCAGGAGAGGAGTTGGAGACCGAATGAACACCCGTTGCCATTGTTGGAAAGACCAAAATTGACTGCTTTGGAACAACCCTTCAGCACATCAGTTATGACTTGGGAAAGCAAACATTCCTTAGTATCAGACTTCCTGGGCAATGACTTTGGTGTATTTTTTAAATTAAATTTCTCTTATTTCAGTAATTTAGGTTACTACTAGGAAAAATAATACTGAAGGTGCTAGGAAAACATGTGTGTGTTAATATTAGCCAAAGCAGAATATTTTTACTTTTTTTTTCCCCTCAAAAAACTGTGCAGTGCCCTCGCAATGGCCATCCCTTTCAGTGCTCCTGAGCCATGCTGACAGGGCAGTGAGCTGGAGTAGCATTCCAAAGAGGCATTTCTGATGGGGTGGTGAATCCTTCTCCGCCCTATATGAAACATTTCCAGTAGCATGTATGCATTACCTGCCAAAGGCAGGTGCTTCTGGCTGTGCCCAGTCACACAGCCCTGTGCACTGGGAGCACATGTGGGTTTCATTCCCTGCCAGCTTTTGCAGCTAGAGGTATTTCCTCGTTCTAGAAACACACAGAGACACTGTAGTCCCAAGCTACTGGTGGTTAGGGAAAAGAAGGCTCATTTCCCTCTGTCTGGAGAGGGCTGTTACAGACTGCCATCATTGGCAATCCCAAAACTTTATCCAGGCTCAAGGTGGGCTGAAGCTGGAGGGTCTCTGTACAAGACAGTTGTCGTGTTTTCAGTTCTAGGGACAGCTTGTGTTGTTGGGGACTCCATTATACTTGGAACAGCAAGAATGGTCCATGTTACTATGTGTGTTCTTCCTGACTGTGTTGCTTTCTCCTTCTTTTTAATTTCATGTGTCAAAAGTGTGTCTTAAGTTGGTTTGATTTGATATCAGATTGACTGAAATGGGAATAAATTATCGGTGCTGTTGCTGGTTGTCAACTCAGCCTTCTCTTTCTGCAAAGCATGTTGCGTTCCTGATTTCCCATTGTTTTTCACTTATGTTCCTGTGGTGTTATCCTGCTACTCACTGCAGACTCCCAAATTTCAGCTTGACAGTCAGATCAATCAAGCAGTAGGTGTCCTGGTCAGCATCTGCATGAAGTGAAAGTGATAGGCCCAGCTCATAAACACGGACAGGTTGCTGGGCTGTCCTGCAGAGCAAGTCCTGGCTGATGCAGAGGGCACACAGTGGTTGGTGTGAAAGGCCAGGCAGTCTCTGGAGTCACGGTTGCTCTCTGAAGTTGGTAGATCGGTTCAATCCCGATGATTTGTTCTGACATTGCAGTCTGTTGCTGGAAATGGATGTCCTGGTGAAAGTGTTACGACTTGGCAAGGCTAAACGATGGGCAATGAGAAGGAGAAACACAGGTCTAATGTTGCACAAACTACTTCGCACAAACTGCTACTTGCAAGAAGAAAATAACACAAGAGTACAGTGAAATGGATGTTGTGATGTTGATATACTCTGGGGTTTTTGCTATCTGCACTAGATCTCTGCTTGCCAAGCATCTTTCTTGTTGCTAGCAGAATATTTATTCTATTTTCTCATCTTTTTGTAGAAAATTTTACTACATCACACTGCTGAGAGACCCTGTATCTCGTTACCTCAGTGAATGGCGTCACGTCCAACGAGGAGCTACTTGGAAGACCTCCTTGCACATGTGTGATGGCAGGACACCGACTCCTGAAGAGCTGCCATCGTGCTATGAAGGCACAGACTGGTCGGGCTGCACACTGCAGGAGTTCATGGATTGCCCATATAATTTGGCCAACAACCGCCAGGTGAGGATGTTGGCTGACTTGAGCTTGGTGGGCTGCTACAACATGTCCTTCATCCCAGAGAACAAGCGAGCACAGATCCTGCTGGAGAGCGCAAAAAAAAACCTCAAAGACATGGCTTTCTTTGGCCTGACAGAGTTCCAGAGAAAAACTCAGTACCTGTTTGAGAGAACTTTTAACCTGAAATTCATCCGGCCCTTTATGCAGTACAACAGCACCAGGGCAGGGGGGGTGGAGGTGGATAATGACACTATCCGCAGGATCGAGGAGCTCAATGACTTGGACATGCAGCTCTATGACTATGCAAAGGACCTTTTCCAACAGCGCTACCAGTACAAACGGCAGCTGGAGAGGATGGAGCAGAGGATAAAGAATCGGGAAGAAAGGCTTCTTCACCGGTCCAATGAAGCACTTCCCAAGGAAGAGACCGAAGAGCAAGGACGTTTGCCCACTGAGGACTACATGAGCCATATTATAGAGAAGTGGTAGCCTAGGCAGACTTTTATATTAATGATAATTCTAGGGTTTCCATACAAGAGATCATGGAAGTAAAATTGCAAAAACAACAGAAAATATTTTATTTAAAAGCAAGTCTGTAAAACAGAAGATAGATTGCTTCCTTAAGCATAGGGTCTTTTTACTGTTTCTTACAAGACCAATGAGATTCTTAAAAAAACAAAACAATAAATACGTAAAAATAAAAAAAAAAGGGTCAACATTCTAATGCCGAGGTAAAAAAAATGCATGAATGCATTTTTATGCACTTGTAAGGCCAAATACAGAAGAATGTTTCTTATCCTCACAATTCAAACACCAATGGCAGAAGTAGGATTTTTGAAAATCTGTTTATCCCCTGAGCATAATGATACATAAATAAAAAACAAGGAAACAGAGGTTTTCTTTTGTGTGGGAGGCAGGATGGGAATTGCATTGTTTGTAAGTAACTGATAACAGTGACTAAGTTGAGGCTGTGCTATCCTGTCAGGCTGAGCACGAGGGCAGTCACAGCATTCAGCTGTAACTGATAACAGTGACTAAGTTGAGGATGTGCTATCCTGTCAGGCTGAGCACAAGGGCAGTCACAGCATTCAGCCGGCAGCCACTGCCATAGAGTAGAGCACCATAAAAATAAAAGAAGAAGAAATACAGTCAGAGGGTGAGAAGCATTAAAGCAAATTGACTATGGCCTGGGACGTGTATTTAGCACAGTGGTTTGATACACTGCACTGGTATTGCATATCCATACGCAACTTCATCACAAAAATGATACAGAATTCATGCACAGAGCTCCCAGATTTGTTTCCCAGAAAGGTCCCAACACAAGTTAAAGCCAACCAAATTCCACACAGGCTCAAACATGCACTCACATGCCATCCTGCCACCCTACATCACTGCTGCTCATGCCATCCTCAGTATTATGTGTTATCAGCACATGAAAACCCTATCCTACAACCTGACAAAAAAGAGAAAGAATTTAAATGCTCCGAAATAAATCTGCACAACAAGGTTCAGGGAAGACCCTGCAAATGATCAGTCATTAATGGGAACATGACAAGGGGGTGATTTTGTTTTGCTTGTTGCTCTGTGAAATACTGACCCAGAATAATCATACCTATCTTTTTTCAGTTATTTTTACTTGCTTTTATCAAGAGCTAATGGGCATCAGCCTGCTTCCAGTGAAGTTAGGAGAACTGATTTAAGTGGGAACAGGATGGGGTTCTCTTCCAGAGCTGTGAAAATTTCTGACTGTGGGTCCGAATTACGAGACAGTGCACACTGTCTTTTGGCAGGGTGCCTGCTCTGCAGCTCTTACTTTAAATGAACAAGCTGTGTTCATAAAACTGGAAAGGGGAATCATGGATAGTGTTTTTTTAGTCTCAGACCACTCTCAAAGCAGAACTCTTTCTCTTTCAATGCTGTTTTTTAGGGGCTCATGTAAGTTTAATCCTCCAGTGTGGGGACAGTCTAACCAGGTTCTGCTTACTGACTTTTGAGTCGTAGAGCAACAATGACTTCTCTAATTCCTCTTCCCACTCACCAAATTAAAGTATGGCTTATTTTTTTGCTGTTGCAAGCACTTCTTTGGCTGGAAGCATGGAAATGAAGTAGTTTTTGCCTGGTTCATGTCTCACCTCGTTATTACTCAGCCTGTAAGACCTGAACCAGCTATTGTTTAGGGTAAACTCTGAACCAAATGGAATATGATTTGATTTTCAAAGGCCATGTTAACTGCAAATCAAATATGGCATTGAAATCACTGGAGGAGAGGCAGAGAGCTGATGCATTCAGCTTTAGCATGTCATTTTTGCAGGGTCCCTTTCCCATCACACAAATCCACTGAAGTGCTGCTTGGTTTGTATTTTAATCCTCTCTCTGCCTCTGTTTTCCAACAGTTTCAAATACAGACTGGGTTTTGCAAAGGAGGGTCTGCTTTGTTCTGCTGTGTACACCCTGGGGAATACACCTTGCTTTTGGAGATGTTCTTCTCCAGAAGAAAAAAAGATAACTAAAAACTTGTGAACAGAAAATACAATCAGCACTTTGGGCTCAAATACAACCCTGTTACAGCCCTGAGCCAAAGTCCACCGAAGTCAAAGGATGTCCTTCCTATTGATTTCAGATGGTTTTGGTCGGGTCTGCATCCTGCTGCTACAGAGTGAACCAGCACACACTCCCCTGCTTGCAAGCACAGTGGGACATTGTTACCCACACATTTTGCTGGTACCAGTATGTGCTGCCAGTGTCACTGTCCTTCAGGTTGTGTCAGTGCTGCTGCCACGAATGTTCCCAGAGATGTGGAGCCTGGCCATAAGCATATCCTCCCAGATGAAAACTGGGAAACAGAGTGAAGCAGTATTTAGTGATTGACTTGGGGGCAGAATGCATTACACCTCCATTTGCACATCTCTGAGTTCCAATACTGAGAGGAGCTGTGTCTACTAGTTCCCAGCACTTTTATGTGTTGCTGTAACTAAAGAAAACATTTGAATTTTAAAAATGCAATTTTACAGGCTGTTTACCCACAAAACCAATACACAAGATATAAAAAGCAACTGCTTTATATGCACAGTTTCCAGCTTTCCCCGAAGGCTTTCCCTGCGCTCCTGCGTTCTGGATCCGTAGCGCACCAGTGGTTACCGCGGCTGATCCCGCGCTGCACTGGTGGGACTGGCTGTGATTCGGACCAGTATCCTGGTTAGGCTGGGTCTGCCTGAGCTGTTTCTGTGTTGCAGGCTCTGAGAAACCAGCTGGATGTGAATGGATCTGTCTGCAGGGTTGTCTAAACCAGGGGCAGCCTCTGACCTTAGAAGCGTGTCAGTAGAAGACGTTTCCTTTGTAATATATTGCCGTAACAAGCAAAAGGAATGAAACTATATTGAAAACTGTCTTGTTAACAGTTTCACTTCAACCCACAAAAGGAGGGCTGGCCTCACTTAGCAGTGAGGCAGAAAATTCTAAATTTAAATCCTGCACCCAGCAAATGCCTCGGTTTCTCCACCTGTACATTGGGTATCACAAATTTATGGAGTCAAAAAGGAGGTACCCTGAGCTATGACAAGTATAGGGCACTTGGAAACAGATTCTTGGCAATGGAAATGAAGAGAATGGCCCCCAAACCATCCCTCACCCTGACTGCTGTGCTGGTCTGCTTATGGCTTTAGGCCATGCATTAGTTTATTCTAAGTGCTGTGTGCCAGAGCATGGGTTGCAGGATGTACCTGGCACTATCTTCTTCCTTTAGTGGGTTTAAGGGAACTTTTTTAACATAATGTGAATATAGTTTTTTGTGATTTATACATACCACAGTTTACAGTGGTACTATTTCTTTTATTTTTAGGACTGATAATTTGATGATACAATAACATGAAAATTGTGTGTGTAGTTTTAAAATTAATGGAGAACGACAGCTTTAAGGCACTCCGGCAGAAGTAGTGGCGAGATAGTACCCTTCAATATCTGCCCCTTTCTTCCAAAATGTTTTTCCTGTGATTTCCAGACACACCAAGACCTTCTTCAGTACAAGAAGTTTTTCTTCAGGGGGCCTGTCAATGCATCCTGATGCAGGTCAGGTTAGGTGAGTGCTGGGAGCAGTGCAGGCAGGTGCAAGATTGTGACCTGTCTCTTAGGGAGTTGGTGACACAGTTCCCCATGAGTTCAGATTTTACCTAGTCAGATGCTTATCCATCCCACAGCATTTCTGCCATGGTTCCAGGGATACTCCCTGGAAAACCTTTACAAAAGCTGAGCTGTGTAAGGTATTTCTAAGGGTTTATAGACCCAGCAGGATTAGTGTGAGTGAGCAGTTTGGGCAGGCAGTTCTCTGGTATCAGGCCAAAGATGATGGATGGCCCTTAGCCTCTGCCATCTTACACCGTGCTGACCCTTGCACATCCACAAATAAGGTGGTTCCAGGGATACTCCCTGGAAAACCTTTACAAAAGCTGAGCTGTGTAAGGTATTTCTAAGGGTTTATAGACCCAGCAGGATTAGTGTGAGTGAGCAGTTTGGGCAGGCAGTTCTCTGGTATCAGGCCAAAGATGATGGATGGCCCTTAGCCTCTGCCATCTTACACCGTGCTGACCCTTGCACATCCACAAATAAGGATGAGATTTCCCAGTCCATTCCTGTCCTGCTCTGGGAGGGTGTAAAGGTGAAGACATGCTGCAGTACTAAGAAGATCACCTTTTCTTTTAGTCACCTGAATGGTGTAAACTTTACTGCTTGATGGGTGTTGTTGCTAGAGAAAAAATTTTACTGCAGATTTGTCTCATCCCAGATAACTCTGTTGAAGGAGTTTGCCTCCTCCAAAGTTTTCCAGACAGTCAGGTGCCACCCTGTATTCTACCCAGGTCACAAAATGCAGGATTTACTGGTAAGGTTGCCAAACCAGGCTGGCACAGGGTTCAAAGTCATAAAAGGAAAAAAACCTCAGCAAAGGACCAGTGTGAATTTCTGACTTGCCTGAGTTTCCCTTTCATGACCAACATTTTGGAATGAATAAGGAGCACTTCAGGTCGAAGTTTTTGCACACCATAGTCCCTTACTTGCTTACAAAACTGGGATGGCATTGGAAGCAGCACAGGAAAGATCTCAAAAAACTTCTGCATTCTGTCTGCCAGGGCTGTCCTGTTAGAGCAAGAAAGAGCAGTGCAGTTGCAGAGAGTATGAGTGAGACAGAAGGACACCAGAGTGGCAGTGCAGACCATCAGGACGTTTCCACTCTGAGCCCATCAAGTCACTTCACAGAAACCACTGAGCAGCTACAGAAGGTAATGACTAACATGACAGCACAGGGCCTGACCGAGAGTTATATCCTGGGTTTAAAAGCATCTCTAGCTTCTTACTGATGTTTAGAGTTGCTCAGACCTCTCCTATTCCATAAAATTTTCCAAACATCACAAAACAAAGGGTAGTGCTACAGGAATTCACCACACAAACTATACTCAGTGTTGTATTCCCAAGGCTGTGGCTTGGAATCCAACTGACACTACCTGCTGGATTCAGATCACAGGGCTCGCTGCCTTCTCTTTTTGTTCGTTTTCACTAATATTAG